TCGCTTCTGCCCAGCCAGAGATAGTTCACGTCGCTTCTGTTTAGCCAGAGATAGTTCACGTCGCTTCTGCCCAGCCAGAGATGGTTCACGTTGCTTCTGTTTAGCCAGAGATAGTTCACGTTGCTTCTGCCCAGCCAGAGATGGTTCATGTCGCTTCTGCCCAGCCAGAGATAGTTCACGTCGCTTCTGCCCAGCCAGAGATAGTTCACGTTGCTTCTGCCCAGCCAGAGATGGTTCACGTTGCTTCTGCCCAGCCAGAGATAGTTCACGTCGCTTCTGTTTAGCCAGAGATAGTTCACGTTGCTTCTGCCCAACCAGAGATGGTTCACGTTGCTTCTGCCCAGCCAGAGATAGTTCACGTTGCTTCTGCCCAACCAGAGATGGTTCACGTTGCTTCTGCCCAGCCAGAGATGGTTCACGTTGCTTCTGCCCAGCCAGAGATGGTTCACGTTGCTTCTGCCCAACCAGAGATGGTTCACGTTGCTTCTGCCCAGCCAGAGATAGCCAGAGGTTCACGTCGCTTCTGCCCAGCCAGAGATGGTTCACGTTGCTTCTGCCCAGCCAGAGATGGTTCACGTTGCTTCTGCCCAGCCAGAGATGGTTCATGCTTCTCAGCCTTCACTGCTTCTAGCCAGAGATAGTTCACGTTGCTTCTGCCCGACCAGAGATGGTTCATGTCGCTTCTGCCCAGCCAGAGATAGTTCACGTTGCTTCTGCCCAACCAGAGATGGTTCACGCTTCTGCTTCACGTGCTTCTTTAGCCAGAGATGGTTCACGTTGCTTCTGCCCGACCAGAGATGGTTCACGTTGCTTCTGCCCAGCCAGAGATAGTTCAGCTTCTGCCCACGTTCACGCTTCTGTTTAGCCAGAGATAGTTCACGTTGCTTCTGCCCAGCCAGAGACGGTTCACGTTGCTTCTGCCCAGCCAGAGATAGTTCACGTCGCTTCTGTTTAGCCAGAGATAGTTCACGTCGCTTCTGTTTAGCCAGAGATAGTTCACGTCGCTTCTGCCCAGCCAGAGATGGTTCATGTCGCTTCTGCCCAGCCAGAGATAGTTCACGTCACTTCTGCCCAGCCAGAGATGGTTCACATCGCTTCTGCCCAGCCAGAGACGGTTCACGTTGCTTCTGCGTAGCCAGAGATGGTTCACGTCGCTTCTGCCCAGCTAGAGATGGTTCATGTTGCTTCTGTTTAGCTAGAGACGGTTTACGTTGATTCTGTCTAGCCAGAGACGGTTTATGTCGCTTCTGTCTAGCCAGAGATGGTTCACATATTAATTCTGTCCAGCCAGAGCCAGTTTCTCAGGACAAGATAGCCATAGCCATAGTTCCCGAGCCGCTGTCTGTCCCTAAACCTATGTCTGTTTCCTCTGTTCCTGGTCCGGTGTCTGTTTTTGCCTGCCTGGAATTACGTTTACGGATTGCCCAGTAAATACACTTGGATCTTACCTGTTTGTGTGTGCGTATCGTGACACGTTTATGCTCATGATAATTTATTTGACCTAATAAAGCACTTTTAGACAATGCTAAATTAAAGTTCTTTACATTCGATTTATAAAGAGAGAGAGAAAAAAAAATGTAAAATCCATTTTTAAATAATTCATGGACAAAAAATAATAATAATAAAGAAAGTTTAAATCGCCATTTGTAAATATTGCAAAACTCCTGTTCTGAGTCTGGTCAATTATCTTTCTTCAGTAATTTCCACAGTAATTGCTTCCCCTGCATCTGAAAGCACCAGTCATCACTGAAATGAACATGTTATAATCTGAGTGTTCACATGTCTTGCCAGAAGTCATTTTCATAAGGGTTTCACAAAGGGATTGACTGAGATGTTATTTGGCTCTGTAGCCCGAGATTCTCATCTTTTATTCTCCTAGAGGCAGCCAGCACTGACCTCTTTCTTCCTCTGCCTCCTGTCTCGGAGGACATTTCATCTGTCACTGTACAGTCATAGAGTAAGTCTAGCCTCAGACCATTCATGCATTGTCTGTTGCATATTGCCGGCTGAAATCACCAGTTCCATGAACTGTTTGTCTGGCTTCTATGCAATATTCGCCCACATTTACACTTTCCCAGGCTGATACAATGAGTGCTTCTGAAAAGGAACGCATATAATTTCAGATGCATGCACCTAAGCACCTATAATAAGCATTGGTTTTGTTACATAAGAAGCCAAAGATGACTAGGCTTCACACAGCGGTGTTGGGGAAAGTTACTTTTAAATGCATTACATACTTTTAAATGCATTGCATTTAATGCATTACAATATTGTTTTACTCCCTAAAAAGGTCACTAATTTTGTTAGTTACTTTTTATTAAAAATAATGAGACAACTCGTCCTTCACTATTTTTTTTGTAACATTTTAGCACTTTTGTAACATAAAACATTGCTTTTTTGATAACATTATTTGAATGTACAGACTTTCTAAAATGCCCACATATTCAGTTTTGTGAAGTCTGATTATTTATTTGTCAGTTTATTTAAATGAACCAGTTCCAAATAAATCATTTAACAAACATTACTAAACAAACATAAATGTATATACAATACAAACATTCATTACATTTTCTTTATTGCAGTCTACAAAATATTTATTCAACAAGATATTTAATCATCAATTCTACAATTTTTTATACGTTAAATTCCAACTAAATGACTGTTTGTTTTATTGGTGGGTTTTCATGTAAATAAATATGCTTAAATGCAGTTTAATTCTGTCAGCCTAATTAGGAATCTTGATTGTTTTCTGAAATTGTATTCTGGTTTCCTGACTGTAATTTAGGCTACCCACTGAAAAATAATTGTTTGTTTGATAAGATACAGTTTTAAAGTAGTTTCCTCAACATGCAAAGACAGATTGCAATTTTTAATTGACTTAAGAGAAAAATAATATTATTTTTAGACAGTTATACAGTATATGCTGCTTGTTGGCAGCTTTGAAATTGTGCCTAAAAGATACACATAAATTAATTCAGTGACAAAACTGGAAAAACTCTCTGTCACTCACTCCCAAGCCTTCCATGAAATGAGGCTCAGGAACGCCTCCTTGATTTCACACATAATTAAAGTTCATTCTTGAACGGTGATATTACAGTGTGGCTTTTTTACGTGGGTATTCAGAGAGAAGAACGCGATGGGTCAAAGCTTGGGTTGATAGTTAAGAATAAATGAGAGAAGGAAATATCTATTGAAATTCACAAGCACGCTGAGCTTTGCGTTTAGAAGGCGAGAGAATGCCAACTGAAGCAGTTTCACACCATTACCCCGATTAAAGGCTGAATAGATGGAGCTAGCATTCAAGATTACGTGATGTCTGCTTCGGACAAGCTAAATCAGCTCAATCTGCCCTACAGCACAGCAAAACACAAGATTTGGCTCCCTTGTGAATTGAGAGAGTGAATTTGAGTTGAAATAGACACAGAAAGTTGAATTTAATTGAGTCAGTAAAGACTATTAAATTGCATGCAAAAAAGAATCTATTTCAAACAAATGCGGTTCTTTTGAACGTTCTGTTCATATATATAAATAAAATTATATACTTTATGGACTTAATTATGTATATATATAATGATTAACCCTCTGGGGTTGTTCGGCCCAAATGGACCCGAAGAATTTAAATACAATTTTTTTTTAAATCACAGCTTCCTCGAAATGGTCCGAAATTTGGTGACTTTGTTGGTATTTGGTATTTGAACACCCCCCAAAAAAGGGGACAGGATGTGAATAGTCTAAGTGGTTGTAAAAAAAATAGTCACACTTGGGGTGTTCGGGTCCAAATGGACCCGCATGGAAAATGAATGGGAAATTGGCACAAATGTGAAAATACTGAGTTTTTTTGTGCGTACACTCTACAAATCAGCCACGATGTTTAATTAGCACACAACAGTGAAGGGATGAATCTATAAAACATCAAGAGTGCATAACAGACACATCCAGACACACACACACATGCACACAAACACACTTTTATACACAAACACACCAAAAAATTCAGATTATACATGTGTTTTGCATTTTTAAAATGCTCAGTTTGTCCACCAGATGACATCCATCTCATTTCAAAAATTGCTTTTATGAGGCCTAGGCTTGACTCTAAAATGAAATACAGCTTTAAAAAAAAAGAAAAAAAGAAAAGAAAAAATATTATAAAAAACGAGTAAAAAAAAAAAAAATCATGATTTTTTTTTTTTTAAAATATGAATCCCGCCCTTTGGGTCCATTTGGACCCGAACACACCGAGTGTGACTCTGAAACGAACAACCCCAGAGGGTTAATAATATAATCTAATTATGTAATCTTTTCTAAGGCCATACATTCTTTATAACAACATATTTACAGTTCATTCATATTATTTTTTGTTTATTTTTTTTAAAACTACCATTATAGCTATTATATAAAAACAACAAAAAAAACATTAAATTTAAAATCTTCTTTCTTACAGTAAAATAAAAGTAATATTCTGTATTCTTCAGGCATTCATTGTAATATTCTTCTGATCTGAATAAGTATACTTAAATTGTAATTTAAAGGCTTTCTCAGCTGCTGATTCTGAATCACAAAACCTGGTTTTGCTCCCTGTTCACTCTGCACTCGCCACAGGTTGCCATTAGTGAAGATGATGAACTGTGATGGCAGCACGGCAATACGAAGAAAATCTTTCCAGTGATCAATTATATGAGAGATCTATGTTAGGAAAGCGCTAGCGAGGTGGTTTGCGGCACATTCGCAGTGGATCACAAACTCTGCTTGATCCAGCATGTGGGCGTAAATTGCCACAGCAGTGGATTAGAGACAAAGTCGATAGAACATTGTCTTGTTTTCACCCTTAATATTTGTTATGCAACAAGGTTCTAACACCGAGCAGCAAGCATGAGGCCTGTCTCTTTACTACATTAATATAATGAAGGATTTGAAGCTTACACTGCTGAAAAGATCAGCATAGGTGATTGCATGGCCTGCCTGATATGCTAAAATAATGTTATGTCACTATATTGCAGCCATGGGTGTGCTGATGTCTAGGAAGCAGCAGGTGGAGAAGGTGCAGAAGTGCAGTGTGGTGGTGTCAGCATTTAAAGAGGGTCTGAAGGATCGGGCGGCCCCAGCAGATGCGGCCCAGACTGAAGAGGTCATAGCGGAGAACGGGGATGAATCTGCTGAAGGATCCCACCAGGCTAACAAAGATCACACTGAGCAGAAAGACAAGGACAGTAAACCAGGGTCATTACCAAATCAGCAGGCCTCAGCTTCATCCAGAGAGGAACATAGGGTCAATCAGGAGGCTTGGGGGCGTCTCCGTGACGGGAAAGGGGTGGAGCCTGAGGATCTAAAGAAGGCGCATCAGCTCACTCCTCCGACGTTCGTGAGGCCGAAGAGAGAGGTCGACGACGACCAACCGCTAAACGTCTCGCTTGAGCAAACTGAGCAGGTAAATTTACTGAAAGGATACATATTTTTAAATAATGATAATATAATAATTTAATTTGTTTATTTTTGGTGCTGCCCACTTTTCTCTTTATCTGTGATTAGGATTGTGTTAACTGCAAAAATATATGAACATCCTTATAACAATACATTTCACTGTAAAAAAAATATTTTCAAGGTTTGTTATCACAACATTTTTTCTTTTGTCAAATCAACTTAAATCATTTATTTAGTTGAGATAACTTATTATTTTGAGTTTCTGATGATTAAATCAATCTCCTTCTATGTATTAACTCACTTTTTCCAGTTCAATCAACTTAAAATTTTAAGTCAACCAGGTTACTTACTTTTTAAAGTTAAACCAACAATATTTTTTTTACAGTGTTGTTGTAGTATTCATCTTGGTGATAAATACAACTGTTCGTTGTTAGTTCACCTGTGCTCCATTAAATAATATTAACAGATGCAATTTTTGATTTTAATTATGAATTAAGAAATGTTGAAATTAACATTAACACATCGGCGGAACGGAAAACATTTGTGAGGGAACGCAAAAGCATCGACAAATAATTTTTTCCTCCATCACATATTTTTTCCCTTCACCGTGTCCCTTTAAGGGGTTCTTAGTTTTTCAGATATTTGGTAGAAAATGTATATATATTCATGTTTTATATTATATATTTTTTTATATATTTTTATTTGTCGACTGTAAACACCATGCCTCAAAAAAAAAAAAAAAAAAAAATAAATAACTCACCTCAAGCTCAAACATGGCTATTTACTCCATGAAAAATTCCATATCTACAAGTGCACGAAAACAAATAACTCAAGTAAAATAGTGGAGGGATGTTAGTGAAGGTTATCCTTTCAATCGGAGCTGAAACCTGCTCTGTGACGCACATATATGAGAAAATGTCAAGATTGTGAGTTAGGTAAGCTGACCCCTGCTCAGCCTAAATGGCAGCCCAGTTTTTGTTGAGAGTACGTGGGCAGTGGGTAAAGGCTGTCCAGGAAAAACCTGGCTATGTGAGCTGCAGTGGCGTCTGAGATCAGTCCGAAAATTAATTGGGGTCACCGAAGCTTGTGGTGATGAGGCTAGGCCTCACAGCGAGCCAGAGAAGAGCCACTCCACACAGCTCCACTCAACAGAATGCTTTTGATTACCTCCAGTCTCTCTCTCTCAGCAAATATAAAAGACATAAGAGCAGGTGGAGTGAGATGCAGTTGGGCTTGTCTTTGTGAGTTATGTCTAGATGCATTTGCTGATGTTCAAATTTGGTTCAAGAAAAAAAAAAAGAAAAAACAGACAGAACTGCAATGAAAGAAAAACAGAACAGCTGGTGAACATAATTGTGATAATGGAAAAAAGAACACGCTATCACTTCGGCAAAGGGGAATAAACTTTATCCTAGATCACCTTAGGATAAATTAAAATAGACACATACACTTTAAAAAATGCTGGGTTGTTTTAACCCAATTTTGGGTCAAATATGGACAACTCCGAAATGTTGGGTTAAAAATGTAATGTAAAAATTTAACCCAACGGCTGGGTTAGTCCATATTTGACCCAAAGTTGGGTTAAAACAACCCAGCATTTTTTAGAGTGTACAAGAACTTGTCTTTGTCATATAGTACAGAACTACAGTAGTACGGTATAATATTATACAATCAGATTATTTGAATTTGGAAGAATCTGATGAGACATGTTTGACTCCAAGTGAAATTTCGAATGTTTGATTGCAGATTTGGTATTTTGGCAAATCTGAGCATAGTTTTGCTGACATCTCTGTGGTGATACTTGTGAGATTATAAGGGTCTTTTTTATCAGTAGAGGATGTTATACAGTTGTTGGTTGCTAGGGTGTTACTAACTGGTCACTAATGGCCACAGAGTGGTTAACTATGGGATTGCTATGGTGTTCTGAGGGGTTGTTCAGGTGTTGCTGGGAGAGTTCTGGAGTGTGTTGCTAGCTGAAATTAAGGGCTTCAGAGTGGTCGTTCTGAATGGTTGCTATGGTGTTGCTAGGGGGTTGTGGTGGTTTCTATGGCAATGCTAGGTTGTTACAAGAACAGAGCAAACATAATTATGTGTGTTTATATTTAATAAGTTTGATGGTTGGAATGTGAATTTCTGAACATTTCATGACACTCATTCATTGTATGTCTTAAATAATCTATTCAACTCTATAATCTACTAAAAACTGTAAGCATTTATTCATTCTGTTGTTTTTTAAAAATGCATGCTATGTCATTTGGTGGTCATATTTCCAGTCTGAATGTTTTAATGTGGCATATTTTATTGTTAGCTAGACCAAGCATTGTTTATAGACCATTTTGCAAGATGTAAACAACACTGGTCGAGAAGCACTCCCAGACAGCAAACTGACATTGAATCAACGTGGAAACGACGTCTCTCATGACATTGAAACAACGTTGATTTTGCTCATCGAATTAACGTTGAACCAACGTCAGACGCGGCATTCTTCAAAGCTAAATGAAAATCGAAAATTGGTTTGCTTTCATAACGTTGAAACAACACGTTGATTTTAAGTTGATTTTCCGTTAGTTTTGAAAGAATGACGCGTCTGACGTTGGTTCAACGTTAATTCGATGAGCAAAACTATGTCAGATCAACGTTGTTTCTATGTCATATTTCCACGTTGATTCAATGTCAGTTTGCTATCTGGGCTTCCTGTTTCAGTTTTTTAACACTACATAAAAGCTGGGATAAATTACAACCAACAGAAAATATAAAACTGAATCAAAAAGTTAAACACACATCTTTAAGATGTTTTCTTTACATGTGAAATAAAGAAAACAGTTACAAACTGAAACAGGAAGTGTTTCTGGACCAATGTTGTTTACATCTTGCAAAATGGTCTATATATACTGTATATATACGTACATACTTTTTTAAGTTTACTTATTAGCATTTTTTATGTGCTTTTGTCATTTGTATTAGTTTTTGTTATTTTTTAAAAATTACTGTTTCGGAATTTATTTATTATTTTTATTCAGTTTTAGTTTTAGATTTATTTATGGTTAGTTCTTTAACTCAAACCTGTTTCAGTAAGTTGCCTTAATTCAGTAGAAATGCATAATTTCTACTTTTCATTTGGTTAAAGTTTTTAATCTATAAACAGTATATATTATTTTATTTCAATTTTATTTCAATTAACATGTATTTAAATCATTTTAGTTTTAATGAACGATAATACCACTGCAAAATGCCCAGATTTGAGTCCAGTATTAAACAGCATTCAGATGCTCCGAGTACTGATGCAGAGCTGGAGTCAGATTCAGAGGCACACTGCCAAGGTGACGTCCTTTGGCTCTTCTGATCACCCCGGTTCTAAATACAGCACCTCTCCCCCGCGCTCATATCACAATCCTCACTCTGAGACTGTGACGAGACACGTCACAATCTGAAGAGCAAGTGTGTCTGATGCCTACACAAGAAGGAATCAGTAAATTTAGCATCTGGAATGTCTGACAATTTGATCCCTGGTTTCCTCTAGCCACAAGATACTTAAAAAGTGTTTAATGCTCCAATTTAATAAGCAAAGGAATTAATTACTTAAGCTGATTAATTAGCCATGGTTCTGGAGGAGTGGTTCTAGAAAAGCTAACTTTGCGTGTGCCCTTTACATGCTTGGTTTGGTATGAATAAGAAATCAGTTTCACCTCGTTCAGTTCAGGTCTCTTTTCACTTTGTAATATTTAGCTTTGTTTTTACATTTGCATCGTACCAACTGGGAGCGCCGCTAGATAAGTTGGGCCCTATGAAAGAATATAAGGTTGGGTCCCCTACCACATCCATATCATCAAAAGGGCTGTCAAACGATTAATCGTGATTAATTGCATCCCAAATATAATATATGTGGGTGCACTGTGTATAATTATTTTATATATATAAATGCACACACATTGTATATATTTAAGACATATTTTCATGTACTGTATATAGATTTATATATAATTTACATTATATTATATAAATATTTTATATATAAATAATATTTTTTTCTTAAATATACATACATGTGTGTGTATTTATATGTATACAAAATAATTATACACAGTGCACCCACATGTAAACACAAACTTTTATTTTGGATGCGATTAATCGTTTGAAAGCCATAATCAATGAAATCGATCTCTGGGGGCCCCAAAAGTGTGTGGACCCTTGGAATCATCACCCAACTCCACCGCCCCCCAGAACTGGGTAGACTCATCATAAAAACAGCTCTCAAACCAACTAAACTCCTCTAGAGAGACTTGGGTCTGCATCAAATGTTTTGTCTCCACACGTTTCCAAGTCTTTAAAATGTCTGACCCTGAGTTGCATTAATGTGACAGGTTATCAATAATATCCAGTTTCCACAGTCTGTCTCTAGATGGGCGACACGACGAGCAGCATGAAATAGGACGATGCAAGATGCGGTTCATGAGACACTCATTATTAAGATTAAGCTTTTTTTTTTATCCTGGAAAGATCTGGAAAATATTTTTCATGCACTTATCTTTTCGAGATTAGACTCTTGCAACTCACTCAATTATGGTGTTCAAACTAAAATCTTGGACAGATTACAAATGGTCAAAAATACATCTGCAAGACTGTTATCAAGCACTCACAAATATTATCATGTGAATTTTAAGATTTTATTATTTGTTTTTAAATCTTTACACGGTCCAGCCCTTCTGTATATTGCATACCTGATTCAGGATCAGAATTTTACGATCTCAGTCACAGAATCTTTTAGTAGTTCCAAGGACGAATCTGAAAACAAGAGGAGCGTGCCTTTGCAGGTGCTGGCCCAAGGTTATGGAACAATTTATCACAATATTAGATTGTCATCAACCCTTAGTGAGTTTAAAAGGCATTTAAAAACATTTTTTTTTTTTCATGTTAGTTACATGATTGATTGCATGAGTGTCGAGGTAATGTTGTCACTGGAATTAGTTTTTTAGAGTCTGAAGATGATTTCGGTGCATTTAAGACTTAAGAGTCTGTGGGTATGATAGATACTTTGCATATATTCTTTATTTATAGTTATTTTTGTTTGTTATATGTTATTGTTAATGTTTTATTGTTTGTGCAGCACTATGGTCAGCATTTTTTTTATTATTATGTGCTTTATAAATAAATTGGAATTGGAATTATACCTGTCGGAAAGTAACTAAAAGTAATAATGCTGCTAACTATTACTTTTAATTGCTGTTTTGCTATGTTAAACATTGCTAAGCTATGTTCTTAAACTGCCATCTTGCTCGCTATTATTATATTTTTTTGAATATTTTCAATTAGTTTTAGTTTCATTTCAATTTTTAGTTAATGTTTTGTGATTTTTTTTGCTTTTGTCCTTATTTGTTTTTACAAATACAGTATTATCTTCAACTTTAACCTATTTTTTTTCAATTAATTGCCAAGACCATTTCAAATTTTAGTTTTGCTTATTTAATTGTAAGTTTTTCAACCAATATTTATTATATATTTATAAAGACATTTAATAGTTCTAGTTAACAATGACAACACTGGTTTGAGCAAGCTGCAGTTTCAAAACTGCGGTACCCCAATACTGCTAGTTAAAGCAGTAAAGATAAAGGGCCAACCATTTTAAAAGAGCAAAATTCTATTCTATTCTATTCTATTCTATTCTATTCTATTCTATTCTATTCTATTCTATTCTATTCTATTTCACAGTTTAGTATTCATAACACTTTAAATAAATTAAATTCCTGGGATCAGTAAAACGTTACTTGTGCGTTCATCAAACTAGCATGACGTCCTAATATCATGAGATGAAAGGAAACCACATGCAGATTCAGAAGCTGTAGCACAGTGCACCATAGGATACTTTAAATGAGCAGTGAATGTCAAGTAAGATTATTTCTATATTTGGTGACCTTTAATGGAAAGCAACTAATGCAGAGAGGTATAGAAGTTTGATCATAGAAGTGTTCGCTTTTTGATGACTCACTACCCCTCCTGACGCGCAATTATGCATTTTGCAATTTTCTCACTGAATCAATAACAGTCTCGTTGCTAAGTAAGGAATGATTTGATCTGTCTTGTCTCTCATTGTTTTGCCTTCAGCACGTCAATGATGAGATGTGTGAGGTGTGTGAGGTTTGGACGGCGGACGATCTGTTCCCCTGCGGGACGTGCACGCGGGTCTTCCACGACGGCTGTCTGCGGGAGATGGGCTACCTGAGCAATGAAGCCCTGCAGGAGATGAGAGAGACAGCCCACACCACCACTGGCTGGAGCTGCTATTACTGCGTGAGTTTTCTCAACACTCTCTCATCATGAGTACATATGCACAAAATCACATACAAACATATTTACAAGCACATTTCACATCACTGGCTGTTTGAAGTTGTTTCAGAGCTATTACTGTAAAGTACATGTCTTTTAGTCTGTAACAATGACCTGTTCCAGAGGGATCAGCCTATAATTATCTGTGTACAACATACAACATACAAAATACAACAACATGATTGTGACATAGTCGTAATCAGTATGAACTGGCATTGTATGGAAAAGATAAAAAAATAAAATAAAAAAAAAAACAGCGCACAGGTTTAGAACAATAGGTGAGAAAAAAATGGGTGAATACATTTTTGCGTGAGTGAACTGTCCCTTTAAATGGCATTATTAAATAGCATTCACAAAGCTTATCACTTCTATAACATGACATATTTCTAATTGAAATGTTCAGTGGGAGGTAATGAATACTGTATATTTTGAGATTTGATTGGATAAAAATATGATATAGATGAAGCTCACACAAAACTTCACTTCACTTTCAAATCAAGCAGATTTATGTTGTTCAAATTATAGATACGTTAACAGAAGAGCAAAGTTGAGAGGAACAATAATGTAATTCACTGGGGACCATTTATAAGGATCAGGGACAAACTGTGCTTCTTTTAAATATTCTTATTCTTTAAAAGTGCTGATAAAGTGATCAAGCATATAAACCACTTGTTGCCCAGCATATATTCACAGATCCTTACCCATGTGCAGCTCCTTGCAAAGGTCAGCGTGGAGATGAGCATGTCAAGAAGATGGTGTAATGCCAGAGAGTCTGTACTTTGTTCAAAGTGCTATTTCTCCCAGCATTAGAGAAGTCTGGCACTAAAATTAAAAAGTGGGCTGCCAAAGCGTACAAGCGTCCTTCATCGGTCAGCGCTTATCTTGGTCGCACAGGCTGCTGATGCTTAAATCATTTGTTGAGCGAGTAAGACATTTTTGTAGCACTCCACACCCCAGATTCACTCTCTGCTTTCCAGTAGACTCACACCATCAAATGGGATGTATCCCATGTTGCATTGCAAACATTAACAGCTGTGGACACATCTCTCAAAACAATATGTGAAGCGGCTTGTTGTTGGCGGAATGTCTGGCGTGTATTTCCTTGGAGGGCTAATTCACAGCTTATGTTTATGCTGATATTTTCTCACTCTGCCCTCTCTACAACCTAATCCACGTGTGTGTGTGTGTGTCGAGGACAAGAGATGCTGAGAGTAGGGATTATGCTTTCAAGGGACGCATATGTTTTTCTTCATGTAACACCATCCAATATCTGGCCCACTCAATCAGGAGCTTGGCCCACTCTGGCCCCATGCCAAAAAAAGTCCAATTGGTGATATGTTCAGTTCAGCTCTGGATTTTGAGGGAGATCATGCTTTTCGGCTACTTGGTAAAAATCCACTTGTTATTTAGAAGCAGTATGTGACCTCGGTCTTCACAAACATTCAAAAATTTGAACAATTTTAAACCATTTTAAACCCTTCGCCACCACGAATGCCACCTTGGTTTGTTCCTGAGAGAACGTTTGTGGCTGTAATGAAAAATGCATAGAACAGCGGATCAAATATGCTCTATCAAACTCAGGTTCACCTGAGTTTCCTTCAGGTGTCGACAAGCGCGGTTCGCGCTGATGAGGCGACTCTGGTGGTACGGGTTGAACGGGCGGTGTGGGTGGTGCAGGGGGACCTCTCAGATGTTGAAGTTGTTGGGTGAGACGAAAGAGAGACACTGAATTCATGAACCGTGTCAGTTTTGTTTCGTGATTATTTTTAGAAATGTTATAGAATTTGAATGTGATTTTATGTTTATTTTACCTAGGCTCATGTACAGCACTGTGGTCAACTTTTGTTGTTAATATGCGTTTTATAAATAAAGTGAACATTGAACATTTAAAGAACAAAAGCAAATTTAAAAACGTACTCTTGACTGAATTAGTTCTATAGCTTTAATTGAAATAATATATTTAATTTATACATTATAGTATTTTGTACCTGAATACTACTGTTAGACCCGAAATCTGTTTATTTCATTTGTATATTTTTTCTTTTGTATTTATTTGTCCTATTGCTTGTAATTTTTTTCATTTGTTTTTATTTGATTAAATTCCTGGGATCAGTAAAACATTAAATTGTGCTGTATTCATCAAACCAGCATGGCGTCCTCATATCATGAGATGAAAGCAAACATACAGACAGTTTAGGGATGGGATGGGATGTGGGAGAGTGGGATGGGGAACTCTTAGCATGAAATTTAGCATCAGTAAGTGTTAACAAGAAGACCGTGGTGGAAAATGAATTAAGAGTCCAGGCTTGGTTGTCAAGCAGATTTTGGCACTTGGCGTCAAATGTGGGATTTGCCATTCAACAGAATAAGAACTGTGATTAGTGTGACAATTTAGATAATTACAGCCCTTTTTGCTCAAAAATAGCAATAAAATCTCAAACTGATATGACATGCACCTGGTGTGGAGATATGCTTATAAAGAGCTTCAAAAGTCATTGATGATGAGGAACGTCAACAAAGAAAACTTTGAGCTGAAACAACATATACACAAAGTCCAAATGAATAAGCTGTGTATTATCTTGCTAGCTAGCTTTTCTTCTTTGCGAGTGTCTCGGGTGGTTACTGGCAGACAGATGAGGAAGACGTATACAATTAAATTCAAAAGGTTTATTCTCTATAGATCTAATAGGAAGGAAAATGGAAAGCAACACACTTAGCATAGACAATATTGGACACTGAACATTGACACAACCGGACTCAGAACTGAAGTAGAACTGATTTTTTCTGCATGTTCTGAAATTTTCTGAGGTTTGTGGTTTGAAAATATCACCCAACAGTGGTGCATTGTGCTGAAGTTGCTGTGTTGTATGTTTTTTTTTTTTTCTGTTTTGTGGCTTGGCTTAAAAAAATATTGATGGTTTAACTTAAAAAAGTAAGTAACCTGGTTGCCTAAAAATTTTAAATTCATTGAACTGGAAAAAGTGAGTTAATACAATGAAGGAGATTAATTTAACCATCAGAAACTCATGTTATCTGAACTAAATAAATTATTTAAGTTGATTTGACAAAAGAAAAAATGTTGTGATTACTACACTGTAAAAAATATTGTTGGTTTAACTTAAAAAAGTAAGTAACCTGGGTTGCCTTAAAATTTTAAGTTGATTGAACTGGAAAAAGTTAATACAATGAAGTAGATTAATTTAACCATCAGAAACTCAAAATAATAAGTTATCTCAACTAAATTAATTATTATAAAGTTGATTTGACAAAAGAAAATATGTTGTGATAACAAATCTTGAAAATATTTTTTACAGTGTGCAGTGGAATTAAAATTTCTTGAGTTTCAGCAAACAATTAGGTTGAAACTTTAAAGAGAGAGCTCACTTACAAATAAAAATTCAGTCATAATTGACTCACCCTTATCTCATTCCAAACCCATATGACTTTCTTCTGTAGAAAATATATACAAGCTTGAACTTATATTGCTGTTTTATTTCAAAATGTACATGTAGTAAAGTAATGAGTTTAGGTATAGGGGTGCAGAGCCAATGGTTGTTCTGTAGGCAAACATCAGTGCCTTGAATTTAATGCAAGTGGCAATTGGAGTTTATGAAGTGCTCTGTTCAGCTCGTTAAAGTCTACTCTTGCTACAGCATTCTGGATCAGTTGCAGAGGTTTGATAGTATCTGCATAGAGAGCATAACAATAGTCAGGTATGGATAGAAGAGACTGGACAAAGAGTTTTCTAGTATGCTCCGATATAAAGGGCCTGATCCTCCTAATGTTGTATAAAGCAAATCTGCTGGACCAGACAGTTATGTTTGACGGACCTTACTGAATGGAGAAGTTGTGATGATATGTTGGGTTGGCTGAGACTACAAGCAGTTCTGTCTTTGCGATGTTAACCAGCAAGAAATGTCTGTTATCAAGGACCCTGCCTGAGAGGTAAGCCATGCAAGCTGTTCGTGAGATGCCGGGAGGCTCTGATGTTGACAGGAGGCTCTGGTGGTTAACTGTGAAAAGCAGCAGACAGATCCAGTAAGATGAGTACAAAGGATTTGGAAGCTGCTCTTTCTAGTCTCGCTTCAATAACCGAGAGCAGGGCAGTCTCAGTAAAGTGGCAGCTTTTGAAGCCAGACTGGTTGTTGTCCAGGAGGTTGTTCTGTGTAAGAAAGGTAAAGACTTGGTTGAACATGACTTATTCAAGTGTTTTAGTGATGAATGAAAGAAGGGATACCAGTCTGGAGTTTTCTAAAGAGTGGGTTTTAAGCAGTGGGGTTACCCAGCCTGCTGAAAGGGATACTCCACCATTTTTCCCTATTAAACTATGTTATTCCTTTAACTAAGACGAGTTGATACACTCTAAAACATGCTGGGTTGTTTAACCCAATTTTGGGTAAAATATGGACAAACACAGCCATTGGGTTAAAAATTTCATTAAAAAAATGTAACCCAATGGTTGGGTTTGTCAATATTTCACCCAAAATTGGGTTAACCCTTTCACGCGTACGATCACACCGGTGTGATTAGAACGTTCAGTGCACACGTCAGAAACTGCTAAATTCAAACTTGCTCTCGCGCGTTGGCTGGCGCTCAGCCAGAGACAGACGCACTCAGTGCTGTCATATATCACAACTATTGAGTGTTTTCAACCACATAATGTTTATTTTAGGTTTCAGACATTTAAATACACATATGTACTGGCAAAACAATGATTTTGTAAAATACACACAGATGTCTATAGAAGCGGCAATAATAATCCTTTCAATTATAATAAGACGACACGTTTTATTCATATCAGATACACATTGTGTAAGTAGCTTAACATTTGATCCTATTCTTCTCCCAGTTCAACAGCCATTTACTATCATGTATTTCGTGAGAAGTGGATGAATTGACGTTATAAATCCAACAGATCTGATTCTCTGAACTGAAAACGAAACTAAAATGGCGCCGCCCATTGTGCATACAGCTCAACTAACGCGATCGTTATAAAGATGTCTAAACAACAAAACTCATCCATTTGCACATATGTGACAATCGGAATATCAGTGTTTCATGTGCAAGTTCAGTGCAAGTTCTAAATAACGGTCGCCTTGAAAAACTCACGCTGGGGGGTCAGTTCGAATATTTTAAACTTACGTGTGAAAGGGTTAAAACAAAATTTTTTAGAGTGAACATACCTCTCGTGTCTCATGTGCGCACTTAATGGCTCTGGCGCGCGAGACACTTTGATAGCACTTAACTTAGCCCAGTTCATTCCTAGCAGAGAAGCGACCAAACACATCCACGTTTTCCCTATTTAAATATGGTTACACGAGTAGTGTAACTCGACCAAGACTGGTGACACAAAATATAATGTTGCGCTAATGTATGGCGAAATACCACAGCAAGTGCTTAGGAGCACCTCGACTTCGACAGGTGCCATCACCATTAAACTGATCATCCAGACTGCACTCTGGGGTACTACATCAATGGTGACTTGGAACTGCATGTTCTCGCGGTGCCATCAGTCAATCAGTGTTCTCATGATGTTGACTTCCCGCAGATCCATAGTCACATGGCATTTATTGGTTACAAAAAGGGCCCATAATAGGGAAATTGGCTCACCCATGAGCAAAGATGGCAGATTTCAAATCACATACTTCCAGGGGTCAGAAAATTTACCACTGAGATATGAACAACGGACTGCAAACATTCCTATCTGTGTACCTGCACCGAGTATGTTTATGGCCTTCAAGACCACGGCAAATCCCACCTCTCCCTAAGCATTGTGTATAACATCTGTTCTGAAATCTAATCTCATTTCAATGATCATCCTCAAAAAAGGAGTGTATCTCACAGTCACTGCTGACAGGAAATGGAGGAACCTCTGAGACTTACCCCTCCCCATCTGGTCTAGTGCTATTGTTCAGATGAGTTCTCATCAGGCTGAGAAAAGCTGATTGAACATACAGCTAGTCCCAGTGCTACTGGGCTCTGACAGCATTTGTTTGAAGGTAGAGCTTGAGCCAGGAAAGAAATCTCGCTCTGAATTTGATATGAAAGGACAAGCAGTCATTTGATCACTGAGAGCTTTTTCCTGCACCTCGTACACCTCATACTCATTAGGTTTCCTTAAGAGCCGACTCATTCAGGCAGTTCATTTCCCTTAGTTCAGAGATTGTTAGCCTTTTTAGAAAGATAAAGGAAGAGAGAAAGATTGAATCACCTGCTGCTGGAGATAATTAATGCAACAGTGTTTTAGGGCTCAGTCTGAAGGGCCCAGAGGCTTTATGTGAGATTTTTTTTCTCATTAAGTCGTTAAAAAAAATCTCTTTACAAGAGTTGTTAATTTTATGTGTTATTTTAGAATACTTATCAACAAATAAACCACTTTTTGTAATATCCATTCCATGGTTTACTAATCTGCCACGTCACAGGCTTTTTGCAGCAACTATTGATGTACAGTATGTGTATTAATCAGTAAATATTGTGTAGTGTATAATTGAGATACTTTTGAATTTTATTTTTATTTTTATATTTTCTGTTCATTTCATTTTGTTATGAGTTTTTGTCATTATTTTTTAATGTCTTTTTTGATTCATTTTTATTTCAGTTTTAGTTTTAGTTTTGTCATTGAATAACACTGTTTTGGGATTGTATTTTGTGTTTAATATTTAAAGTTTTTTTTTTACTTATTTTACCTTTTCACTATTTAGAAATTTGTACTAAATTAGCAAATGTTTCCATTTATTCCACTATGTAAATATATTGGATTATGCATCATCATCTAAAATCATCTCTAAATATCTTACAATTTAGCAGTGAAAGCACAATGTTCTTGTCTTATTGTTTTATTAAATACATTTCCTGTTGAAACTGTTGTTTCAACAATTAGTCCACAAGCAAGAAAGCAGTGTAATGTATTCTCTTTAAAGTGAACTGATCTACCTGCTCTCCCTCTACATCCCTCAGGATAATGTGAACCTGCTGCTTACTGAAGAAGAGATGTACAGTCTGATGGAGACCTTCAAGCAGTGCAAGATCATTCCAGGTGTTTCTCTCAGTCCCATGTTAACCCCATGCTTTAAATATGTGACTTTGTGCAGTAAACTAAGGAAGCTAATTAAAGGTTTACTAATTTGTCACATCAGTACTGTAATTAGCCCTAAACTGTTTCCATTGATTGGTGATGCTGGATCTTTCTTCTCACCCACTTTCTGCTCAGAGTCGTGCCTGGTGTCAGATGAACTCCTTCAGTACAGGCACTTTGTAACCAAGCAGCTTTTTGAACGAGACTTGACCGATGAAGAGGAAGAGGAGGTTCTGGCTCAGTTTGCAGCACTGGATTCAGAGAAGAAGGGTCAGATTGAGTGGTCTGACTTCCTCTACCACGAGTCGCTCTCAGTGCTGCAGAAATTCCGGACTGAGGTAGGGCTTTCATTTTCATAGGGCTTTTTTTTGATTATTACTAATATTTGAAATATATTTGAATTTAAATGGTATAATTTCAGTTAGGGAAAAAAATCTTTTGACTTGTCTCATGAGGCCAAAAGACGCCACAATGAGTAAAATATGAATGCACCACATTAAATTGTTTATTCAAAGCAATGAAAAATGACTGTCTGATAAACATTAGTTTAAACTTTTTTTTTTTTTTTTTTTTACAATCAAATATTATTTAATGATAAATGCAGTAAAAACAGTAATATTGTGAAATATTATTATAGTTTGGGCATTACATATTACAACATAGCAACTTAACATGTGAGGTGTGCATTTATATGAATAAACAGCTTTAAACGTGGCGAAACCAATCAGAGTTTACAAGCTTAACTATATGTTTTATAAGCATTTTTTAATGTTCAACACTTTCAAAATGCTAAATTATAAAAAACAATCAAGCAATCAATTAAATGCATTATAGAAAATTTTCTCTTTTATTTTCAATCCAGAATTCGCTGGTGAGAATCCTCACAGCAAAGGAGAGGGATCGGGCACGGGCCGTTTTCCAGAGTCTAGACCAGGATAAAGATGGGATCATTACTGCCGGAGAAGCCAGAAGAGCCCAAACCTCCTGGTTCCACAAGATTAACAAAGAATCACAGTCCTGCAGTGTCAGGTGAGCTAATTACTGTATATGAGTCAGTAATCACAGTTAGCGGGACATTTCTGAATGGTTCTCAATCACAGCCACCTACATACTCAACAATAAACTTCTGACAAACACTTCAAAATCATCTCAGGGACTCGTCCAATTTGCCTGGCCCCTGGGAGCAATAAATCGGATCAAGCTTGGCAGTTTTTATTGTCATGTCAAGCTGCCAATGCTTCCATGAGCTGCTAGCCAATGCTAACTGCTCTCACTTTATTAGCATGTATCCACCATCTCTTCTCACAAATTACGAGGTAACTTTGAGTTCAGTAACTCTAACGAGGGAATATGAATCATTTAAGCAGCACATTTGCTGACAGTTCTGACTTTGGGATTAATGCATAAGTAACGTAAATTAGATGATATAACCGGTTGGATAAGTCATCTGTGGAAAGGAGAAATATTCTCAATGACAGGCTAAGTCCAAGGACAGGGACTTACTTTGACAGAGCACACTTTGCCAGTCATATCATAACTCAAACCTCGCTCGAAGATCCCAAAAGTCACAATGATGCATTTTTGCAGAGATTTGTGGGTAGGATGGCCATTTCCACCTTGCGGCATTTAGCGAGGCAAGAATAATTGCCTAGGTCTCTGGTGTTCTCGCAACTACAATACAATTTTGTCCATCATATCAATGGTATCATGATACAGTGATTCTGAAATATCCTTCTTGCCAGACTATATATATATATATATGAAGAGTTCAGATGCAAAAGCCTCTAAGTGCCATTTGAAATTTTCTTCTAGAATGATCATTTTTATCAAGCTTGTATATTTAAGTTCAGTGATTTCACTTAAATGGCAATGATAATTACCTGTTAATTGTTATTTAAGTGAAATTACTGAACTTAAATATACAAGTTTGACAAAAATCATCATTAAAAGAAGAAAATTTCAAATGGCATTTAGAGGCTTTTGCATCTGAACTCTTCATATATATATATATATATATATATATATATATTACTTACAGTATTACTTATATTTTAATAATGATCCTGTGATCAAATTGATGTGGCATCATTGATGTCACATCATCCTCCAGAAATAATTCTAATAGTCTTATTGGCTGCTGAAGAAATATATATTATTATTATTATCAATTTTGAAAAAGTTGTGATGCTTAATTTGTTGGAAACTGATACGATTTTATTCGGGATTCTTTGATTAATTGAAAGTTCAAAAGAACAGCATTTATTTTAAATAAAAATATATTGTAAAAGTATAAATCTTTACAGCCAATTTCTCAACTTGTTTACTTTTTTTTTAAACATGAATTTGATTAACTTATCAACATATCTGTGAATTCAGTATTTGGACAGTCTGTTTTGACATCCATCTTCCATGCTCTATTTTATTTTTTCACCTATCATCCCAACCTTTTCACCACTGCTGAATGTCCATTTGCCCTGCAGACTCATTGGATTGTGTTCCCCTTTGTTCAGTATGGGGTAAGTCACTCGATCTGCATGGGCCTCCCCTGGAAACATCTTACGTTCCCTGCCATCACCATCATTATTCTCATTTTAATCATTATCACCTCAATTACTGAATATTCCATGATGGAGGCCAAGGAATCAGTGGTTAAAAATATCAAAGCTAAACTGACTGTAATGGTTGTTCGCTATATTAGATGAGATCTTGTCCTCCCATTATCAAGATCAAAAGAGGGGCTTTTTTTCCCCTCAGAGAAAACCTCAAGGATATTTTTCATCAGTTTTAAGCGGAACAGCAGGTTAAATGAGCTCCTAAGTGTGCGGGTGCATGGGGTTGTGGGTGTTTGGCTTGTTCATGGCATGACTAAGCTTGCATCCTAATTTACACTCATTAAAATCAACTGAGGGCTTGAGATCAAAGCAGACCGCCTCGACTCAGAGCGGTCCCAGTTCTGCAGGAGATGTTTGGGTCGCTGTATAATGCTCTGGTCATGGTTGCACTCTGTTTTGCTTCACACATCATTGAACTTAATTACAAGAAGTTCACGTTTCAAAAGAATTTCACTCAATGAAGTTTGTCAGATCCTTTCAGTGTACTGAACGGCATGCAAAGTCTGCAGTTTGTGAGACTACTGTATATACAACGATTGTGGGCCATTGAGAATTTAATTGAGAATGTATTTTAAACTCCAATTCAAGTCCTGAATGCATGAGTGAACTAGTTTTATCTTGCTGGTGGTTGGGTATCGTCTCCCAGGGCTCTGAGGTGTCATGAGAACAACAAATAAGACTGTGAAAACCCAGAGCCGGTTGAAGTGCTGCCTGCTGTGAGCTGTCCAGTAGTGTGTGTGTGTCTGTGTGGGTGTGAATCAAACAGCGTGTGTTTAAGCTCGCTTTCTTCATCTGCAGTATCAGCCATGTTGGTCCAATATCTGAGAGCAGTCCTGCCAGTTCCAGTAGTGAGAGAAGCAGAGATAAAGCCATGGAGAATGACAACAGGTTGGTGTATGTGTGTGTGTGATCACTTACAGTGCAGATGGTCTATCACCCAAGATGCACTGCAAAACTATTCTCCCTTAATAATCAAATCCCCCTTTTCCATGATTCCCATTCAAATCTGTTGAAACAAGTCATAGACAACATCCTAAGCACCGTCCAGTAACACTGCCTAACGACAGTATAGAAACTTCCCAAAGCACTCTAGCAACCACCTACTAATGCCAAGTAAATCAACCAGAAGTCTTTAGCAACTCCCCATCAATGGAGCCACCTGGAAACGCCCTACCAACCATCCAGAACACCCTAGCAACTGCTAAGCAACCACCTAGCAACAGCATAGAAACAAGCCAGAACACCCTAGCAATCACCTGGAAATGTCAACCATAACTCCTTAGTAACCCACAATCAATGCTCTAACAACCACATGGAAATGCCCTGCCAACCATTCAGATCACCCAAGCAACTGCTAAGCAACCACTTAGCAACAACATAGAAACCAACAGAACACCCTAGCAGCCACCTGGAAATAATAGTCAATCAACCATAACTTGTTAGTAACCCCCTATAAATGCCCTACCAACCATCCAAAACACCCTAGCAAATGCTTAGCAACCACCTAGCAACAGTATAGAAGCCATCCAGAATACCATAGAAATCACCAATCAACCAGAAAATGCTAAAAAAAATACTGGGTTGTTTAAACTCAACGTTGGGTCAAATATATATAAACCCAGCCGTTGGGTTACATTTATAAATTCATTTTTTAGGTTTGTCTATATTTGACCCAAAATTGAGTTGAAACAACCCTGCATTTTTAGAGTGTAATGCTCTAGCAACCACCTGAAAACTCCCTACCAACCACCCAGAACACCATATAAACTGCCTAGCAACAACCTAGCAACAGCAAAGAAACCGGCCAGAACACCCTAGCAACCACCTCAATCAACCGGAATTGGTTAAAAACCCCTACCCAAAGCACTGTGTAGAAATACCCTAGCAACCATCTAGAACACTTTAGCATCTGCTTAGCAATGCCTAACAATTATAAGTGGTTTAATAGCTTTCTCAGTAACTGTACCATCATGTTTTCCAGACCGTTTACCTGGGATAACTTCCTGAGGGAGAGCGCCATCTACATCCTGGCCGCCAGGCCCAACAGCTCAGCCATGCACATCCGTTTGCCACTCTAACCGCGGAGATTTCCAGAGGGGCTACCCGTGTACAGATTCATGAGCAAGAGGTACAGAGGACTAAAACGAGAGTTACACGACAAAGCAAATGAGTGGGCCACCACACTCAAAGACTGTACAAGCCATCGATGGATTTTTCCTCTAACCCAAGCTAGCGACACACTGACAAATTCAACGCTCTTGAACAATAGCACATCTGTCAGCACTTCACAATTGAGCTTTCACAAGCTTGTTTGATTTCTGTGACCAAGTCACTGTTTCGATCAGAGACCCTGCCGCACGTTTGCAAAATTACAGCACCACAGTGTTTGCGTAGTGTTTTTGATGTTGACGTGTTGTACCATTTTCCAGTTGTGGCTCTAGCCAAATGAGTTGTGGGATCAATGTGTTTGAGCAGTAGTCGGATCATTGCTGATCTCATTTCAGTCACCATAAAATATGAATATACAGAGAATATGGTCAAAAAATCAAAGTGAGATGCTATTGATACTATATACAGTATACATATATATATATGTGTATATTATACGAAATATTGTATTTGTATTTATTCCCATACATTCAGGGATGGATCATGGACCAGGTCAAGGAGCTTCCAGACTGCCAGAGGCCTTAATCTGAGTCAAGTGAAAACTAAGGAAACATAAAATTGTTATTGACAGACAAACACTACTTGCAATTAAGATACTACAGTAAGAAGATCGACATCAGTATGAGTTTCCAGTCACTTGACAAGTCGCATTATGAGAAGTTGTGGTTCTTAATTTTCTACTGCCATATTTTATTTCTGAGTGAAAGAGGATATGTAAAGTGGAAAAGGTAAGGCAGAACAATTTCTATCTATGGTGAATTTATTGGATTGTGAAATAAGGTATTTTTGATTCGTTTCTAAAACTTAGTGAGCTGCCAACTTACTCCGTATTTAAGGCACCATAGGCATGTTCCTAATGCAAAATGTGTTCCAAAATGTACAGGCAGCATCAATAAGTAAATAAATATCGAAAAGTTTATCTTATAAGAATCTTATTTTACCCAGTATATGTTTGTGAATATTTATGGGTATTAGAGTATTTCTTAGTTAGTTTAGCAACCAAAAACTTCATTAAGAAGCTTTCTAAGAAACCTAATTTTGACAAAAATCATATGACTTAATAATAAAGTCTAATAAAAAGTTTCAATTAAATATCTAATTATTTTACCCAATATCTCTGTGTTCTATGTATTTTTTAATAGTTTTAAGAATATAATATCCTTAGCTTAGCAACATGCTAATTTCAAACTGCAAAGTCCCTTTCAGACAAGTAATTTCACACAGCTGTCATCTTGAAACGCCTCTTGGTCATGCAAGTGCATATCTTTTTGAATGGGAAAACATAACATTTTTCAAAACTGTTCACCAAAATTTAGATTTAATTTAATATTTGAAATCGCCAATGAAATGTGACAACAACTGTCTCATGTTTTTTGTTTCTAAACGCTCGAATTATGACAGAAAATCAAGCTGATGCACGGTGGAAGGGCATCTGACTGACTCCGGGGCTTCTAACGGCAGCTGCTGTGACACGATGACTTTACCAATCAGCGATTGGCTCATATTTAGAAGGCGGGACTTATTCCACCATATTGAGCGTTAGACTTTCGCTGTTCAAAACAATACGACTGACACATCTTGTGTCTTTGAATCAGTCAAGTCTTAGCATGCTTCTTTCTAAGGTTCCACTTATATTTTTTTTATTAAAATAGGTATGATTATTTCAATAATAAAATACTTATGATCTCTATTTAAAGATGTCACTGAAATCAACGATTTTACCCATTGTATAGTTAGCTTAGCAACATGCTAATGCCAGACTCTGTTGAAATCAGTTGTCAGTCAAGTCTATCCTGTGTGTTTCATCATAGTTGCTTTGAATCAGGATTCTGTCCTATATGTAGCTATAGCAAAGCAGCTCACTAGGTTGATAAAATGCAAAGTCACAATTAAAAAGTATTTTTAAGATTTAATTTTATAATTTGTTTCATCCCCAGGGAAAAAGCAATAACACAGGGCCTCGTATAGACCATAATCCTTCATTGTTGTTTTATTTTCCATTTGATGTTTCTTTAACTCACTAGTCTCAGAATTATTATATTTTACTGGGTATGTAAAAACTGATGCAAATACAATCTTCCAAAAGATTAAAATACTAATTTAAAGGAAAGAGCCGTGCAAGGATTAGAACTTACTGCCTAAACAAAGATATGTTTCTTTCTTTCCCTCCTTCCTTCTTTCCTTCTTTCCTTCCTTCCTTCCTTGTAGTATGATCATGTTGAAGTTGTTCTTACATCTGCTGCAGATGAAAACAATTTCTAATATCTAAAACCCTTTTTTATTATAGGTGTAAATCATACACACTCCTGTAAAATGGCTCCTGGGTTAAAACACTCAATATATCGAACTGTTTGAAGGGTATAAATGAAACAGCTGCTCTTGTTTATATGGTCATATCCACTGTATTTGCTTATAGAAAGTTTGTATTGGATTGTGCTAGCTAGACAGTTATTTCAAGGGACTGTGCAATACTCTTGAGTTTTGCTGGTAGTGCTGGAAATAAATGCATGGCGTTAACTCCAAAAATTACACTTCAGCTGTGTGGGTATGAGTCATTTATACACTGTAAAAACATTGTTGGTTTTACTTAAAAAGGTGAGTAACCTGGTTGCTTGAAAATATTAAGTTAATTGAAAAAATTATACAATGAAGGAATCTATCTATCTATCTATCTATCTATCTATCTATCTATCTATCTATCTATCTATCTATCTATCTATCTATCTATCTATCTATCTACTGTCTATCTATCTATCTATCTATCTATCTATCTATCTATCTATCTATCTATCTATCTATCTATCTATCTATCTATCTATCTATCTATCTATCTATCTATCTATCTATCTATCTATCTATCTATCTATCTATCTATCTATCTATCTATCTATCTATCTCTCTATCTATCTATCTATCTATCTATCTATCTATCTAGACTCTCTCTCTCTATGTGACACTCATAGCACCCTAAACAGCTGAGCACCCATAGAAATACTGGTACACAATTTGCTCAACAAATTGCATTTCCATCTATATGCTCTTTACTACACAGAATTCAAAACAAATCCACAATTTCGATCATGTTCAATGCCATTAAAAACTGTGATGTTTTGTTGGAACGGAACAGCTGGAAAGTTGGGCTCAGAGGAGAGCACTAGGGAAGTTGCAGTAGCAGATGTGACAGACATGGCCCCTGGTAGGGAGCTTTTTACACATCTGGTAATGCACAGCGTCACTGCCTCTGCGCTGTCCCATAGGGCCTGTCCTGCATCTCACATTCTCTTGGCAATATCAGACTGCCATTCGGTGAACCTAAGTGAACACTTAGCTTAACTTACACTTAGCACTTAGCTTAACTTTAATCCAATTAAAGTTTTTCTTTATGCATTACCCTGAATGAGCTACGATGCTCAGTTGTCTAGATAGTCTGGATATGGAGTATTTCACATGAAATGTTGTAAACTCGTACTCATGATCATGTGTTACTGACAGCAACTTCCTTTGATTCTGAAGGAAGTTGTGTCATGAGTTTCACAGAGCAGTAGATAGCATCACTCATCAGCTGGAGGACAGTCTGGCTGAAAGCCGAGTCTCATCACTGAACACTTGGACATCAGTGTCTCCTCAGCACTCATTCATGCTCTAGACCAGCTTGGAATGTCAGGTGAATTAGATTTAAGAGCAGAAGTCAATTTGTTATAAGTGCAGCTTGAATGTAAAAAAGAAAAATTAAAGCAGCGGCACACTTATTTTTCTGAAGGATTCATTTAAGGATATAAATAAACTTGAACTTTCAACATAGCATCAACAAAACCTACACACTTTATATCTTCCATGCCCTCTCGACTTAAGTATGAAGGTCAGGAAGAAATGGAAGGCTCATCTGAGCTGGTGGTCTATGGCCATGGAGAAACCAATCGTTGAGCCTGCCGCAAGTAGTCTATCCTCTAGTGTGTTGCCGCATACATGGGGCAGGGTGGCTGTAGGGGTTTAGGATCTACCTGATTATCAATCTCTTTAGCATCTCCTGCTCGTCCCAAAGAGCAATATCTGTAGGAACAGTCTGCAAAAAATCATCATCGTCGACCAGCAGATCGCCCTTGTTTGTCGCCAGATCATCCGAGAGGTTTACAGCCCTCTCGAGGTGATCGAGCACTGCGTTACCTCACAACTTTAATTCGTCTTATAAACTGACCTGTGTGAGTAATCAGGACTTGCGGGTAGTTCGGTAGAATTAAATCTCCTTATTCCTTTGTATCAGGACTCGCATGTGATATCTGTTTCTTTAGCTATCGCGACCTGCATCATTCTATACTGTGATGTTAAAAAAACATTGATGTTTGCACTCATCCATAAACATTATCAGATCCATCAGATTGACAGCAAGTCCCATCATTCAGCTCATCACTGCATCAAAGCCTTTGTTATTGTTGGAAACTGCGCCCTCTTGCGGTGAAAAAAACTACATATTGTGCCTTTAATGATTCACAGGCTGTCGCTGGTCAATATGATTGCCTTGATTTTTATAGTGATTTTAGACACCTGTCACGAGGTGTTCCCTAAAGCATCAGTCGATGCAGTGCGAGTTCCCTAATCCTACATTTAATTTCACACAATATAATCAGATAGAGCAGGAGATGCAGCTGATGGAGTCTTTGCTGTCTAGCCTTACATCTTTGTTTCTATTTTTAAAAGCACATTTCATGAAATATTTAAACAATTCTTTCAGCGTTTTCAGCTGTAATGCACTCCCCTGACCTATTTTTGTCAATATGATGCAGTGACCTTAAAAATACTTCTCACCTTCACAGGCTGATCATAAATTCAGTGCCACGGATTTCTATCTATAACTTTCTTCTTTACAAAGAATAATTTGACACCTATTTCATATGGTTTTTACTTCAAGAGCTTTATTAGACAATTAACCAGACCAAAAGTAGACTATCTCAGTCAAGTTCATCACATCTGTTTTAATATTGTATGGCCAAAACAAAGAGAAGTATAATGTGATGCAAATCTAGGAATTCATCATAAATAATGTAAATAGCACTGAAGCTCCAGAAGTGCACGTCTAAGAGAAAGGAAGTGAGACGGAGTGTCTGTAATTTCAAAAGCAACAGTCGCTTTTGCTTATACTATGCGAATTGTCAGGCGTTGAAGATTAATATGAAATGAAACTCAGGTTGAACTGGAATCCCTCCCACTCTTTTCCCTAGTCTTTTCTGGTGCATGCCTATGTGTGTGCATGTGAGCAAAACGGTGTGCTGTCTAATAGGATAAACTTGAAGGGGATCACAAATGCAAATTCTGGAATTCAAATGTTCTCTGATTGTAAAGCAACCGCTCAACTCAGAAAAGCACTGCATAAGTGCAACATGTTACACATTCTTGTTTTTGCACAGCAATCTTCCTTTTTAATGCTAAAGAGCATTTTATCACTGCATGTTTAAGTGGGAGGGTGAGAAAGTGGAGAAAGCATGTGTGTGTGTGTGTGTAGTGGTTTGTCTGTAACACTGGTTATGACAGAGGGAAAGCCAGTGGGGGAGTAATTGCACTTTGCATGACACACACATTGTATGGCAAGCCCTTTTAACATTTTAAAGCTAAGTTTGACTATCCAGAATTAACATTGTAGATATCAACAACATTTTTTTTTTACTAGTCGTAATTACATTTTGGATAGTTGGTATTGTCCTTTTGCCATTCGGTATTTCCCTCAAATTAAATATAAAATGCATGTGTTATATTTTTTGATGACTCCTTTATTATTGGAGTATGATATATAAACAGAGGTTTCAATAGCCTAAATGCATTTTCTGAAAATGTATATTTCAGGTTTTGACTGCAAATGTCACGTCCATAACGCTGGAATCGCCAAATTTTAAATAATTTACTAGTTTTGTGGTGTAGGTCTACGAATTTTATAATGTTAACTTCAAATAATACAAATAGTAAAGATATGGTTATATTGGATCTGGACCGGTTCGCAACACAGGTTTGTGGATCCGTGGAACGCGATTTCGGTTTTATTTAACGGGTAGCTATGTAAGGTGGGAGGAGTTGGATCTGGATTTTGTGTTCTGTTTTCTGTTTCATTTTACGCCATGGACCCACGGAAGACGGCAAAGAAGATAAACTTATCCGACGTGGAGCCGAAATGACCTATCACAATGCATTTTTTACCGTACGTGTTTAGAAACAATTAGCATTTAATTCATATCAATCACATGTATTGGGGTGTAACCTACAATGAGGATGTGATGAGGATGATGTGATGTGGAGTACCATTCATTCACATTAAAAATTGCATGACAATTTGTAATATTCTTATTATTATTATTATGATTTTTTATTATTAATGAAGCTTATTGTTATTTAGAAGAAGAATGTTTTTATTATTTTTATTAGTCTGGATTTTTTTTTTTGGCCATTGAAAGCCTTTCATTACTGAACCCAGAGTGTTTGCACTTTTGATAAATGAGGGCCAGAATCTGATGACACACTGAGAGGAAAGGCGCAAAGCGGAAAACTCAGACACATGTATATGCCATGCACACAAGATGATTGCTATCAAATGTACACATTCAAGATATTTGGCATCTTAAAATGACAGCAAAATCAATTAAATTTATTTCCTTAGACAACCATCTCCTCTAGTCTCTGCTCTATTTTGTGGTTAAATGTCTCCATCCAGTGTTGTCCAATGGACATTGCACATTTTCCCGTTCCAAATGCCATGAAAATAAAATATTTTTAATAAATAAAGATTTTTCATGTGGAAACAGATGTGAAAACTGCTGCACACTTGTGACTGCACCATTTCTTGGATGTTCTATTACTACATTACATGTTTTCATAAAGAGCGCCATCTTTGAAATTTAGAAAAATTAAAAAATTAAAATTTGTCCCAAATCTGTTTTTTCTCTCTCGTTTGAACACAAAAGAAAACATTTTGATGAATGTTATAATGAGAGAGTTAACTGAAAAGAAAAATACAGTGGAAGTCAATAGAGTAGTGCAGGAAAGACATCAATTTGTAGGCCAAAACGCGCAAGCGAGTTAGCATTTTAGCACTTCTGGTTCAATCGTCAGTGTTTTGGGTTTTGGTTAAATGGCTGGAATAAGGTCTGTGGTGAATACAAGTTCAAGACTCTCTCAAATTGTATTATGACATAACATATTACCCCACTCATGATTTTTTTTTAAAGCGGTTACTTGTCTTGAAAAGGCAGTCTAATGAGTGGCTAAATGGCACTACAGAGGCTGTCGAGGAGATTAAACATTAACACGATGAAGAGGTAAACTCAGTCCACTTACAGCCTCGTTATGCTTATAATAGCGTGAAAACATATAAGAATTGTCAATAGAGATAAGATAAGCCTATAAGATAAAGAATTGTCGGAAGCTAGTGATGGTGAATTTGAGGGAACAAATTGGCTTTATGCCCAGCTGCACTACTTCCTGAACTTCAGCCAGCTCCTTGTTTCCTGTCTGCCATTATTGGCCAAATTGATTAATTCAGGTGTGTCTGATTATTGTTGCCATGACTACTGAGGTCAGGTACACCTGAATTAATCAATTTGGCCAATAATGGCAGACAGGAAACAAGGAGCTGGCTGAAGTTCAGGAAGTAGTGCAGCTGGGCATAAAGCCTATTCCCTGGTGTTGTTCGTTGATAGCCGACCTTTAGCTTTTTTACTTCTGGCAGAGCATTTAGGCTTCAAAATTCATAAAATTTGTGTCTATCTGTGATAGTTATCTTGAAGGACAAAACATTCAAGTATCCTAAACTTTTGTTTGCCACATAGCTTGCTTTTTTAGCGATAGGCCTACTCCAAAGTCCTGTATGGAAATTCCTATTGGGTTTTTGTTGAGGTAACCAGTGTGATGCTGCCAGATAGTGACCTCATATCGGCACCACTCTATTAATAGGCTACTGTCTCTGTCTGGTTACCAACATTTTTCAAAATAGTGTCTTTTGTGTTCAGCAGAGGAAAGAAACCCATGTAGGTTTGGAACAACACGAGAGTGAGTACGACAGAATTTTCATTTTTGGGTGAACTATCCCTTTAACGGGAATGAAGCAAGGCTGTGAGGGTCGAATGATAGCCATCTCTTCAGAGGGTTATTTATTCAGCAGACAAAAAAACTGAAAACATAAGCTGTGGAAAACTATAATTGATTTAGGAGCTTTCTACAGAGGACGCGATTGAAAAAACGGTAGATCTATATCACAGTCTCGGTTTCATACTGCTGTGCTGTTCTCCACTTCCATCCCCCCTAGTTTAAGCAAACGCGCATGCGCACAGAAACAGCTGCTGCGAGTGTAGTTGAAGTCGCGCATGCGTAGTGAAGTTATAGTCCGCGGTGGGCGGGGTGGTTGCGAGGATGTACAGTGTGTTTGTGACGATAAGCAACGTGAATGAAAAAATGACGAAATAACTGTGATCGAGGGCAAGTAGCGGTCGCGAATCCAATTCATACAGTACTGCGCAAAATAGTAAGTCCCGTCGCATTAAAAATATGCAACCGTAATTAAATTATATATATATATACATATATATAAAATGAAAAATATGTGTCAAATGTGCAGTCGATAAGAATGCTCGATGCGGCTAACTAGCACTATACAGTGAGTTTTGTTGTTTCATAGTCAAAACGTTTGCATTATTTTCCCGTCATAGTGAAGATTGATATTGAAATTTAGATGAAGGCTGCCACTAAAGGCAAATCAACTAATGGATAAAGCATTTGATATCAGGACCATACATATCTTCCATACGTTTGAACATGAAGCTTACTGGCTCTTCTTTATCCTTATCTTTTTTTTCTTTTTCTCAGACTTTCTTTGAGAGCCTGTGACCTTGCAGTAGAGTAAGGTTTTCTAAAAACATATGAAAAAAAAAGTGTCATGAGGTTGCTTCAGCTATGAAGTAATGTTACGCAGTTAAATTAATGGGGGTGTCAGCTTTGTCAAAATGTTGTTTTGTTGAGTAAGCAGTATTCAGAAATAATACCAGTGCTTGCTAGATGAATAACCTAAAACACATTTATACCAAGTTTGACTACTTACTCAGTTGTTTGATTAAGACCAATCAGCCTTTTGTATGCTAAAATTACAATATCCTGACAGCCATCAATTTATCAAATTATCAATGAAATTTGTTTAATTCAATGAAGATTTTAAAACTAGTCTTTAAGTATTGAAACCCAAAAACCCTAAGCACACCTTCAGACCCAATCAAAAATGGAACATTTTGAGAGTGTTGAATAAAGCTGTATGAATGTTACTGGAATAACGTTTGTTCATGACCTTTGAGAGAACCTTCCCAGAACGTTAGCCAAAGCTCTGATAACTACGGGAAATCCATGTTTTACATTATGATTAATGATGCATTACATTAAGATCCTCATGTTTCTTACACTGTTGTGGTGTTTGTTTTGGGTTACAGATCATTTCTAGTCCAACCAGCTGTCTGCTTACCCCCTGTGACCTCTTGGAAGGTTTTTAAGAGCACTATGGGGAACACAAGCAGTGAGAGGGCAGGCATGGGCCAGGAAAAGGCCCACAGAAGGGACAGTCGAGGAACTAAGGAAGGAGACCGTCCCAAAATCCTAATGGACAGCCCAGAAGATGCCGATATTTTTCATGGGGAGGACATCAAAGTGTGTGCTGGCTCACATTATCTGTTCGCTTATGAAGATATCACAATTTATGACCATGTGTTCTATCTTTACTTTTCTAATAGGCACCATTAGTAAAAGAGGAATTCATTGACTGGAGAGCAGACCTGGACACCAGTGAAAAGGTTCTCACTTTAGATCGACCCACTGTGTTTCGGTGGACAGGAGCTGGAAGAGAAGTCTATATTTCTGGCTCTTTTAATAATTGGACCAATAAGATTCCTTTGATTAGGAGGTATGTAACATTTAACGGTAACTAGAACTATTAAAATAGTTTTGTTAAATAAATAAATTTAAACCTAAACAGTAATATAAAAAATGAAAATAAAATAATATTAATTATAAAGTAAAATTGCTAAAAACTTAACCTAAGATTAAAATTAAAACTGCTAAGCTAATAAAAAATATAATTGGATATAAATACAAAGTTCTGTCATGAAACTCTAGATGGCGCTGATAGGTCCTTAACTGAGTCTGCTTGCAATTACAAGATACCTTTACATGACAAATTCATTCATTTAACATTAATGTTTACGTCTGTTTCTTCAACAGTCAAAACAACTTTGTGGCGATTGTGGATTTGCCTGAGGGTGAACACCAGTATAAATTCTTTGTGGATGGACAGTGGACACATGACCCAACAGAGGTAATGGAGACATCAACCATCATTAGGGGTGTAACCATACCCTCATCGATGCATATCGCGATACTGAACTCACAATACGATATTATTGTGATACTCCAAGACATATGATAAAAGGCTAACAAAAAATTTACTGTTGATTAAAATGCTAAATTTGGTGTTACATTGTGGGTGTAAATGAATATGAGACTTGGACTTGGCGCTGAAAACCCAATGCACAGGACAATAGTGACACCAGAATAAAAATATTAATGATTCTGAAGCTGAAAATACAGAATCATTTTAGATTAATATGCTTTTCACTCTGTCACTGGCTAGATATGTTTTAAAAAAATTCGGCTTTATTATCAGGACCCAGAAATATTCCTCCATTGCATTGTTATACAATATATTCAACAAATTAGTTATAGTAGTAGTTTAATTGCTGACACTAAAACTCTGTAATTTGAATTTCTCACACAGTCATTTTTGTTTTGCATGAACTATCCACAATATATATTGTTGCATTTTTGTATTGAGATATATTGTATCACGATATATTGTTACACTCCTAACCACCACCATCATCATCATCATTACCCTCCATTAGTACTATAAAACCAGCATAATATTGACCTTATTTCTCTTCAGCCTGTCGTGACCAACCAGCTCGGCACGGTCAACAACATCATCCAGGTGAAGAAGACAGACTTTGAGGTGTTCGATGCACTCATGGTGGATTCACAGAAATGCTCTGACATATCAGGTTTGAGCACAACCATTTCCACGTTTCCTGTCATCATATTTTACAGCTGTTTAATCACAAAAAAAAAAAAAAAAAAAAAAAAAAACTGAAAATGATCTGCTACATGATGTATCATTAATGACAAAAATGGTCAGTCTGGGGTTGTTGTGACACACTGTCTTCATTGATTATAGACCTGTCCAGCTCTCCTCCTGGGCCATACCATCAGGACTCTTACGTCCCCAAACAGGAGGAGAAATTCAAATCTCCCCCCATCCTGCCCCCTCATCTGTTACAGGTCATACTCAATAAGGACACAGGCATCTCAGTGAGTATCTGCAGAAGACCTTGCATTAGGCCTGTAAAAATGAGTAGTACCATTCTCAACAAAATTATTTGATTTGATGAAGGGCCCTATGATTTTTACTGGAATGTAAAGAATTTATATAACAAAAGTACGATTTACGATTAATCAAATTCAATTTGCGATATTTGGACTAGTGTCTTTGATTATTAAATAACATTATCACTACAAACCGCCAAAATAAAAGTTTCGTTTAACTCGAAGTAACGAGAGAAATTGACTATTTTGTAGTATGTACTTCTTAAAATAATAATAATAGGTAATAATAATACAATTTATTGAAAATATTGCTGTAATTTTTTATAATAAAAGTGTAGATGTGCAGTATTTTATTTGACAAAAAAGAAACTGAATTACAGTTTTAGTTTTATAAATTAATTTGTATTAAATCATAAAACACAGAATCCAGAAAAAAAATTAACTGGACAACAAGGAAAAAAAGAGAAACTTTTCTTTTAATTGTATTTCATAGCACTCTATATATAGCACTATCAATAATATAAAAATGTGTTTTATAAAATAATATTTTCAGCTTAAATATACTCTTTCTAGTTCTATCTATAACTTTAGATTCTATAACATTATGTGCACCTAGCTCGTATCTGCAAATATTCCTCTTGTATAGAGTAAAGGTCCGTTCACACCAAGGATGATATCTATAACAATAAAGATATGGTTTTAAAAATCATTCTAAATATAAAAGAAGACAGACCTCCACACCACAACTATAACAGCACAGAAAAACACTATAGTTGAAATCAATTTTCAAACCTTAAAACTTGGTCCTTTTTGTCTTTTCAGTGAATCTGGTTCACAGTTTATCACAATCACATGATTAACTAGCAAATTGATTTGCATTTTAATAGAACAAGGCATGGGATATTTATATGAAAAGAGTCATGTTGTTTAATTGGTCAAAATAGACTCCCATTATAAATGGCCTAAATGAAGCAAGAGTTTTTTTCTTTTGGGGATCAGTGATCTGGAAACCCTGATGAGTAATTATGTTCATTTGATTTCTTCACTTTATTTCTTAAAAAGTGTGTATTTTGCATAATTACATTGTAAGGTCCAATACAGATGCTGCTAATAAAAAAGCGTTCTTGTTTTCTAACAGTGTGATCCAGCTCTGCTCCCTGAGCCCAATCACGTCATGCTTAATCACCTGTATGCTCTGTCCATTAAGGTAAAGCAACTTAAAGAGTTCTGTGAGATGAACCTGTATTGATTTCAAGTCTGTTCTGATGACTCTGTATCTCGTCCGGCTCTTTGACAGGATGGCGTAATGGTTCTGAGTGCCACCCACCGGTATAAGAAGAAATATGTCACAACCCTGCTGTACAAGCCAATCTGAGAAACATGGCCGTTTCAAACGCTCAATTTATATGACCTCTGATCTTATATCAGTATGTATTATTGTAAATAGGGATGTACAGAAATGCACTTTAGAGAAAGAGCCCTACCCTCTGGTACAGGTTGGTACACTTTTTAAAACCATTACTTAGTGGAACTGGGCCAAAATGACTGAATCTAAACCAGTATTTGGATAAGAGGTGTTCTTGAATGTGAAAATTAGTGTAAATAGAGCTTGACATACTCATTATTTTGTTTAGTACAGTGTTAAAACAAATGACATAGCTGTGTAGATAAATATTAATATATTATTAGGAAGCTTATTGATTTTCGGCCAGAAAAAGGCCTGTTATTAGCAGTTTTAGCAGTCAGAGACCCTAATGTAGAAAAACTGATGGGTTGAAGAAACTGTTTCACTCAAGAAACTAATGAAATTTTTTTTTTCAATTTCATGAAAAAATGTATCTTTTTACATCCATCTTTTAATCTTCTACAAAGATTAGAACAGAGCAAAATAATTATTCCAAACATCTTGATTTAACTTTTAATCTGTGTTATGTTCTCTGAAATTAAATATCACTTTTAATAAATGATTCCACCAATTTTGGCTCCATGTCATTATCGCGTTTACAATCGTATTAGGATGCCCTTCGTGTTGGCTTTGGACATTCTGGGTAAGTACAGCAGCAATTGGGAATATATATATATATATAAATATATATATAAAAAATATAAAAAAATACTTGAAAATAATCTGGATATTATATAGACCAAAATATCCCCATAATAATATATCTTTATTGACTCACAATGTTATGCTCATGGATCTTCTTTTTAGTGGAAAAAAGTTATTCAGATTATCAAATATTCTTCCCACTGAGGCAAGACAAAAAAATCATTTGGCATCACTAAGAAAAATCCCTTTTTGAGGGTTACACTTCTATTTTTAAGAGTGTATAAACCATTTAAGGACTGATATAGCATTTATTTTAGTTGCATCTATTTCAATTGTAGTTCAATTGCAAAAATCTTGAAAAGTATTTGGGCTCTTCCAGTTGTCCAACATTTGTGTAAGATGTGCAGTGCATAGTTACAATGATGAACAATACCTGTGCTAACTGTCTTCATGAATCCACTAAAAAGCCCATTAAGACCAGTTGATTAGTCTCCATATTTTATTTTCTAATGCACTGAATTTTAACATGAACTGGCTAATAAACATACTAACATTTGATCCATTTCCTCTATAGATGCTGTCAAATTCATCACAAGATTATGCAATGCATAAAATGCCAGTCCATCCAGGACCACCCATACAACATACCCTATGTCTACAGCTGTGACGGGCCAGGAAAGAAGGTCATCTGCAGTGAATAACAACGTTTGGCTTGGCCTACTCATCACATTGTTGGGTTACAGAAAATATTAAGGTGAGAACAGTCCATGTTATAGCACTCCTTAGTAGTTACTCATGCAATTACATGGTCATATAAAGCCTTAAGTAAATTAGAATCATAATGTGTTTTGGCACTTCTAGCATAGAAGATGGATATAAATTGCTTATTTCAGGTCACTCATGACGCAAGGTGCGCAGTACAAACAGGTCTGTCTGCAATCTTTGGTGTATTAAAAAAGACAATTACAGTTTATAGGAGTGCTGACGCAAAACATCCAACCAGGATTATTCATTATGTGTGTGTGTGTGTGTCGACGCGTGTGCATGGCTTAATAGCACGCATTGAAATAAATCAGTTAATAGGGTCAAAATCTTAAAAGACAATGTTCTTGACAAAATTTGGTAACACTACAATAAGATTCGATTTGTTTGTCGAATACTTGTAAAACATTTATTAGTCTTAGTTTATGTTATTTTCACAATTTGCTTCAGCATTATTAACTCTTTCCCCACCATTGATGGACTTTTCCGGCATTTATGGGACAGCGCTTCCCCACCAAAATGGATGGAAATTTTAGGCTTTCCGTGTTTTCACTTTTATGTGTTTTCACTGTTATATGGCAGGGGGCGCTAATACACATACGATCATCAACATTAAACAGCATATAAATCTAAACTGATTTAAATGTCGACCCAGGACGAGCTACAGGACTGTGCTTTGGGGATTGATGGACTCGACCTATGAGCAATGGATCAAGTGTTGATCAAACTATTGCATCTGTGTTTTGATCAGTGACTGGCAGTGACTGACTGCTTTTTTCTCAAAAACTGGCGGGGAACGAGTTGAAATGTAGTTGTATTGATCAATGGACTTGAGCGAACAATGGACAGTTGTATTTTTATTAACTAATTGTAACTTATCTTACGCATACATTTTTTTAAATTATTAAAAAAAAAAATTTTTTTCAGTACAATCAATTGGGATGTTTAAGTCATTTCAACTTAAATTACGTTAAACTGAATTAATTAAAAATGTAAAATACTGACTTAATGTAAAATATATGCTGTCTTAACTTATTGATCATATAACTTTTTAGTTTATGCATGAACTAATGTTAACCAACAGTGTTGAGGGCAATGCATTACAAGTAACATAACGTACATAATCATGACTTTTTAACTATAGTAAACTAATGCATTACTGTTATAAAATATCGGAGATACTTTTTCAAATAAGCAACGCAAGCTACTCTGTTTTCCCATTTACATGCACAAAAACAGATTCAGTAATCCTCAAAATGAATAAAAACAGTGAAATGCAAACTCAGAATATTATGCAAACCTGAAATAATTAAATCTGTTAAATAATACTCTTTATGTATTTAATTCAACCATACCAATAAACAAAAAATGACTTTAGATAAACATCACATTTACGTTTTATTATTTTATTTTTCCTATTCATCGCCCTCTACTGTACATGTGTGGAGTTGTGGAACTTTTGGCATAAGTGGGCCTTCATATTTGCCAAAAATCCAACTTTATTTAAGTAAAAACAAACAAACAAGTAAGTTCAGCCCAGGTGAGAAAAGTAATGAAACATACTTTCCATAAAAAATCAATTAGTTACTTTTTAAGGGAGTAACACAATATTGTAACATTATGTTTAAAAATAACTTTCCACAACACTGATTAATCAGGACCTTATTGTAAAGTGTCCTTGAAAATGTATAAAAAATAAAAAAAATAGGCTCAGACTTAAAAAATAAAGTTCAAAAGGGTTGTTTTTGCAGCAATGTCATATTTTAAGAACCTTTCAGCGAACAATTCTTAAAAGAACCGTTGTTTTCTTAGTGGATGTCCTTGTCCCTTTTTTAGGCCTAAGTATTTAATAAATAGGGTACATATGACCTGTTTAAAGGTTTAATCTGGACAAATTTGACCTCATAAGCCATTTCCTCATTATTAGCATAATGAGGCCACAAAGACATGCAAGCAGGAAAAACTACATATCAAAATCAGGAGATGTTCGAATTCCTGAACATTCAAACCTTTTGTTTTCAGATGTTTTAAATGACGTTTCTTTAAATGCTGTGCTGCAGGACAATTTGGGCGAGTTAAGTGTCTGGCAAGCACATGATGTGCTTGTAACCATTTGTGATTCATTTCAAATTTCACTTGAGGCTTCAGGATAAAATCAGGTTAGTAAGTCTGTGGAGGAACTGTATGTCGGTCAAACTCTGGATATCATGCATTGGTAAAGCTAAAAGTCATGAATACATTCCAGTTCTGAGGAACTATCTCAAGAAATAGTTTGTTTACTTTTGTGAACAATGTTAACAAATTCTTAGATTGTAATTTAAAAGTTCACCACTAGAAGACACTATAAACTTTATCCGTATGAAGGTTTTAACTTAAGGAAGGTTTACAATCCCTATACAACCCAAAGACTTGTGTACATCATACATCCCCAAATGAGCCGACAAACTGCTATCTTTTTTGATTTCTTCAAAGATTTAGAAGTACTAATTATAATCTACCAAATATGCAACTTTTAACAAAACAGTTTGACCAAAAAAAAGAAAAAAAGAAAAATGAAGTGAATACCTCCTTGATTAATGCAATATGTGGGAAATGTTAGGTTATAAGTTTCAAGAATTAAAGATGTACACTTAACCTGAAAAAAAAAAAATAGCTTGACAATAATTATTATCAGACGTTCTGTTGATATTTTCACTTTAGTATTATTTTAAACTTGGCTTGATAGTTTCAAGATTGCATACGTATAATGTCAGCCAGATTATATGCCATTTAGCCAGGTCTCATTGTATAACCATACTGTCCTGAAGTAAATGTCCTGACCTTATAAAGAATTAGAATTTATGAATAACCTTTCGCCTGAGTCAGTGGCATTCTAAAGAAGGGTGAATGGTTTCTAACAGAAAAGGTGGAGAAGAGGCAGTTCTCTGGCGAGAGACAGAAAATAGAATTGATACCATCCCATAACAAAAGAAAAGGTGAGGCGAAAATATCAAAGAGGTAAAATGTGTTCCCATAGCAACAATCTCTGACTCATGTGACTCTACTTCAGTTTAGCCATAGGCAAGTATGACAAAGTCCTTGCTTTAAATACATATTTTATATTGTTATAAAATAGTTATTATATATATTTTTTAATGTATAATTATTTAGTATTTATAATTACCCCAAAATTATGTGTGTGTTTATCATATATTTCTATAAACATAATACATATAATCAAATTAAATATTGTATTTTAATATTGTATTTTATATATATATATATATATATATATATATATATATATATATATAAAATATCAAATTTATTATAGATATATATATATAAAATATCTAATTTAATAAATTAGATATTTTAAATGTGTATATATATATATATATATATATATACATTTAAAATATCTAATTTATTAATTTAAAAGTATACATTTTTTAATATAAATTTTAAATATATTTATAAATATCATGTAAAATAAATTATTAATTGATAAATTAAAATGATAAATTATTGTAAAATACATTTATTGATATATATTATATATATATATATAAAATATTAATTGATAAATTAAAATGATATATATATATATATATATATATATACAATTTTAATTGTATTTTATATGTATTTTGATTATTTTACAATATTTATTTATTATTTTTATTCATATATATGTGAACTTTTTCAATCATTATTTTGGATTTTTTTTAATTGATCAAATAATAATTTATTTTACATATAAAATATATTTTGAGACTCACATAAATAAAAGCATGACATCCAACAACAACGAAGTTAATGAACAATAACAATGGCAAAGGACTGAACAGAACAGAGAGTAAAAACAAGGTGAAATGCGGGAACTAACCAGACACAGGTGGAGGAAGATGAACATATCAGGGACTAACAAGAACCGGACAGAGCATAACAGTGTATTTTATATTTTATTATACAATGCTTGACAGTTTTATATGGCACAGTATGCTCTTATATAATGCATTGATGATTCTAAAAACATTGCATGTGTGCTTGGTTCGGTCATTGGCATTTCAGTAATACTTTACCAGGTGTTACAACATGATATTTTGTATTGGCAATATAATATACAATATGTCCTGCATCAAAGAACACATGTATAGCAGGACATATCAATAAAAAAAAAAA